TGCACTGATTCCTTCTCATCTGGAACAGCTGTTGCATTTTGGTTTTGGATTATCTTTTGTTTAGATGGGATTTCCCCCCCCCCTTCTCTTAAGTGTGTACCCTATAACATATGTTGGGTAAGGACCTTTGGCTTTTCTTGTGGGTACTTTGATGGGGTTTAGGTTCTGGATGGATACTTTGCTTATAGATATCCTTAGTATGGTGGCTTTCTCAGTTGCTAGTTATTTGTAGGCTATAGCAGGGGTATACTATGTGTGTGTGCAGATCCCCTGTCTCTTGTTGACAATGGGAGATGGAGGTCTTTGAAATCCTTTCTCTTTCCCCAGCCCTGTGACCTTCTTAACAGTGTGAATTATATTGGGATGCCCAGTTTAATCTCTAAGACAGCAGTTGATACGTGTGAGTAAAAATCAACCACACCCTATATGATTGAATTGGTAAATGCTGTAATGGGCTGTACAAGTTGTCCTCTCTGCCAGTAAGTGGCACTTGGCAGAAAGAGCCAGCTGCAGTGCTGTTTTCTAGGACCTGTGACTGGCTCTAGTTGATCAGGAAAAGCACCCAGGTGTCTCAGGCAGTGGATGGGTCCCTAAAGCTCCCAGGTCACTCCTTTTTGTGTTCCACCACAGCAGAGGTTGGTGGAGGAGTGAGGCTGGGTGGGGATGGCTAAGATGAGCCTGCATTCAGCCTACATAAAGGCAAGCACAAGAGCTGTCTCTGTAAGTATCAACATAATAAGGATATCATGGAGTCTACAAAAAAAAAAAAAAAAAGGAATTAGTCAACTAATTTATGTTATGGTTTAGTAGAAAGCTTCTGGCCAGAATATTGGTCAGATAGATACACATTAGAGATAGCAACAAGCTAGCATCATGGCTTGATGATACTGGCTGTTAAGATCATACAACTTCCTTTTTCTGATTTCAAGCTTACAAAGGAAAGTTTTGATTATAATGCTCTATAAATTTCCCTATGGGGAGAGAATGCATGAGTAGCCAATGCAATAAATGATCAGGTTGGCAGATATATTTCTCTTTTTAAATAGGTCAATGACATCCTAGAGAATTTACTGTCTGCTGTGGTTTGATAAGCATGAATGGTCTTAAGATATCTCTCCTTCCTGGAAGCACTGGCTGGTCTGGACCTCTTCTGGCTTGCATGGTACAGATCACATACCCTGGACTGCAGAGGGTGCCATGAAGGTGACACCCTCACCTGCCATACAAGCAGCCAGGCCTCTTTGATGTTCCTTTCTCATTCTCAACACTGTTTTCCTCCTAGATCTGATAAGCTGCTTCATCTAATAGGGCAGTTCAGGGCTCTTAGAATTGGTAACTGAGCACTTTGACACTCTGATGCTCTAATTAGTGAAAACATCTGTTTGTCTCTAAAACGTCCTTCAATCCCTAAAGCAATTAAAGTCTTTCAATTTTGCACATCAGAATATGTTGATTCACAGCTAATTGCAATGTTCCTTTTAAAGAAAGAAATTCAGTAAAATATGCTAAAATACCCCAACTGACAATTCCAAGGTGGAAAGAAACAGTAAGAGGGACACCTACTGGTCAGAACTCACCAAACCATACTCCCTCTTGCTTCTTTATGAGCCTTCAGTCATTCTGATGTATGACAGACCACAGACAGCACATGCTGCTCTGTCTCTGGATCTTTGCACATACATTTCCCTCTCTCTGCAGTGCCTATTATTACCTCCCATCCCATATATCCTCCAAATACTCAGGTACACACACATACACACACCTTCTGCACTTGGCTATTTCTTTTTTCCTCAAGTGACATCTGTTACCTCCCAGAGGAAATTTCTTTCTAACACAGAAAATATGGCTGGTGTTCATGTTCTATCTCCCTACCAACTATACAGGCATGATTATTATTCAGTTCTGTGTTCCAAGCATTTAGCATAATGTCTGGCTCACAGTAGTTCAATAAATACTTTTGATAATGAAAAAATGATCATTTTGTTCACTAATACAGACAGATAAGATAATTGAATTTGTGCCACTTACATAAAAGCATGTGATACCCATGACTTAATCAGAAACATTTTCAGGCTTTCAATATAAAAGAGAAATTTTTCATACTAAAGAACATGCATATAATCTTCATACATTTATATCTTCTGAGTAATCATTTTGGAGACATTGTTTCATGGCCACAGTCCAACTCTGTGAGGATGTGCATGCTCTTCCCGAGCTCAGCAGGATGGACCATACCTACACCTCCAGAAAGGTGGGCTTCTCCTCACAATGTGTATACAACCTATTAAATGTACTTCTAGTGTTAACATGATTCTAAGACAGGAAGCAGTGATAAGAAACAAAAGAAGAAGAAGGAAAGTCTATGCAAGTTAGCACTTGCGTTGGTTCCTAGGCAATGCAGAAAATCAGACAAAGAGAGTCAAGCATTTACTATGAACCTGTCATATGCCTTGCATGACTTTTAAATATTATAGGCAAAAAATCAGGAGAAATGTTCCTGGATCAAAAAATACATGCAAATCAGGTAGTCTGGAATATATTACTGGCCTTACTCTACTGGCCAAATACTTTTTGCCTACCAGTGTTTTCACTGAATATCTAAAAATAATACTTCTATTATAATCTACCTTGTCGAATGAGGATAAATTCATTAAGGAAGATAAAATGCCTCAGAGAGATGTTATCATGTTTTTGTTCTGGAAAGAGAACTCAAAGAAATGCTTGAGATACCAAGAAACCACCTATTCTCAGGGCCAAGAACGTCACTGTGACCCAAAACAGACTGAGTTCTGGCATGGTAAATGGAGTACAGAGATGTCTCAGGATGAGGGACAGAGGAAAAGAAACCCAAGAGGTCAAGGAGGTACACAAGAAGCAGAATACACACTGGTAGACAAAACAGTATCTGACTGAAGAAAGCTGTGTTGGCTCTCCACACTCAGCAACTCTGAGTTAACTAACCATCACTGTATCATCATTTTTCATCTTCTGAACTAGACTGAAATGGCTGCTCTTTAAAGGAGAGTTTCTGTGTTCAACAGCTATTTCCAGAGACATCAATCATATGGAGGCAAAGTTCACCATTTCTTATTCTCTCACCTCAAATGCTCCGATTTACAGTTTGACACACATATATTTTAAAAAATTAAAAATAGCGCTATCCTTTCTCATCAAGATCAACCAAAATAAGGATACTTCAGAGAAAATCAAATACTCCTTCTTCTGTAACACTTCTTCTAGGAAGAGATATACACTTAAAAAGGCCAGAGCTAAATTTATGAATTGTGTATACCAGTTGGATATATTATTGATTCACTTCAAATGGGTCCTAATTTAACATAATGTATGCATCTTGAAAAAGGTACAGAGCAAATAGAAAATTTCATGTGCACATAAATACTTACAGAGAGAGAAAAAAAGTGAGAGAGGTGTTATGTATTTTATAAATAGACTATTTCTGTGCCATGTATTCATTCACATATAGTTCAGAATATAAGCATACCAAAAAATTACAAATAAACTCCATCAACTGGCTAATTCCTGACAATGCTGAACAATTTTGAAAACTGTACCTAAGTTAACAATTCTATCATGAAACCTAATGGCTTCGTATTAAATGGTTATCTGTGTCCCTGAAGAGGACTGTTAATGCTCAGGATATGTATGCCATTGTTTTGATCATAGGGTTAACATCAACGTTTGGGTTGTTTTAACATTTTAATCACTCTCAGAGGGTAGCAATTAAACAATCAGGTATTTGGTGGAGTCTAAACCATCAACACATATACCGATAATATATATGCACAGAGCAGTTTACATACACTAAAAGCATAGAAAACCAAATTCTGATCACCTTGCTTAAAATATCTGATACCTCCTAGTTTTATAACTTTTAGCAAGTCATTATTGCCTCCCCAAGGCAAAATTTTCTCACCTCCAAAATGAAAACGAATATTGATTCTCCTTTTTACTATCCATAGAGATACTAAGAAGATATAATAAAAAAAAACACAGAATTTTGACATATCTTTGAAAGTTGTTTTCATTCAACTGTGTGTTCCTAGAGTGTAGAGCCCGAGAGATATTCATGTATACGCAGCGTTTGTCAAATTATTAGGCATTAAATGCTTGTTAAAATAAGATAAATAAAAATTAGAAAGTCAGAAAGCCCTTTTTCAAATATATTACAGTGAAGGGATATTATTGTATGTTTAAACATATCCATAGTTAGCCAATGAATTTGCTTCCAATCTTCCAAGTGAAAGTGAATTTTAAAGAAATTTAGAACCAAAAGGCAAAAATGACACAAAGCTTATTGACTAAGCTTTTATATTATGCTTCTTCTCAGAAATTCCAGAGAGCAGCAGTTCTACAAATGAGCCATTAATATTTTAGGAACCAGATTTCTCCTCTTCATTTATCACTTAAAATGACAATTATACTACTGAATGATGGAGTATACTTGAAAGTATTAATGCAAGTTATCTCTATTTAAGTTAAATGTAACTCAGTATTTTAAAGTACTTGTTAGTCAGCAGTCTATAACAGGGGACTGTAAAAGGATTTAGCCTGTGAGCTAAATCCAGCCCACTATCCATGAGTGAATGGATTTTACATTTTTAAATGGCTTAAAAAATGTTTTAAAAGAACAGTATTTTTTGACATGTGAAAATTATATTAAATTCACATTTCAGTGTCCATAAATAAGTGTAACACAGCAAAGCTCATTAGCTTATGCTGTATTTCCTGTATCTACTTTTACCTGATAGTGGCAGGGTTGAGTAGTTGCAACAGAGACTGTACGGCCTACAAAGTTTAAATTATTTGCTACCTGATCCTTAATAGAAAAGTTTGCCAACCACTGATCTGTATGAAGCTGGACAGTGATATTGGAAGTGACAAGAAGAAGTTTGAGAAATGCTCCCCTAGACCTAGGGCTCCCACATTTTCTAAACTACCTCCTTAATGGACAGTACAGAAAGTGACAAAAAGTACTCTACCTGCCATTTTCCTTGGGAGACCTGAAAAAAAAAAATTGTAAATCTTAAACAGAGTTTGAGACAGTTATTATAGTCACATCATTCATCAAAGTACAAGTACTTTATATATTTCCTTTGATTTTCTTTGAAATGATTTTCTTGAAATGAAAATGTTTACATGGTCAGATACTGACAAACTTTTATAGATTAAAGGGAGTAAAGGTAAAAAGTATTCTATGTTAAACCCAATGGTCATTACCGTCTTTTAAACAATTAAAAGATGGTTATCTCTTCATAAATAAACTTTTTTTAGTAAATCAGAGAGAATTTCAGTTGTTGACATGGACAAAATTGAGAACCTTTATTTTTGGGATAATGTGTTATGTAGTATTAAAACCATATGGTACACAGTAAGGTATTAAGGGGCTAGGTTAATGTCAGGATTGCCTAATCTACAGGATATTGCACAACATTTGATATTTATGTATTTTATGTAGCAGATGCTTAAACAGAACTTCCCATGTGCCAGCAACTGTGCTAAGCATTTTACAAAAATTAGTTCATCTAATCTTCATTAAGATTTATTAGTATCCCCACATTACAAATAAAGAAACTAAGGAACAAAGAAAATAAATAATTTTCACAAAGTATTTCAAAAGCAATTTTTTTAAAGGAGGATTAATATGTAAATTTTCTTTTTTATATGAAAGTAATATATCCCAAAGTATCCAGCCACAGTATAAAGGCAGGATATGAAACAAGACCAGTTGGTCCCAAAGGCCATGTTGCCCTTCACATTCTGCCAAATGAGGGAGGTCTTCGAAGGCCTCACATTCTGAGGTTCTCATCAGAACTGAATTGCAATTGGAGACAGCATTGTGTGAAAACACCTAAAACTGAAGTGGGAGAATGGTCATGGTGTAAGAGTAGGTAGAAGGATCATTTACCATGCTTGGCCTCTCTTCACTAAGCCCATATCACTAACTAGCTGAGCGCTCTTGCACAAATTATTTAAATTTCTATGCTCTGGTTTCCTTATTAGAAAAAAAAATGAAGGTAATAATAACTATCTTGTAGCACTGATAATAGAATTAAATAGCCTGCCACATTATAAATGCTATATAAGTACTTGCTGTTATTTTTGGTAAACTCAGAAGTTTTGACAAAAACATGGCAAAGTTGAGATGTTATGTTAATTATGTTATGCTGTCATGTTGCAGAGTGCCACCCCCTGTGCTCCCTGGCACTGGAGAGCTGGGCCACAGCCATCACCGAAAGTCATGGTACTGAATCTATTATGAAGGTTCAGAGCAAGAGCTATAAAGTCAACTACTTTGTTTCAAAATTCCTCCTCCACCCCAGTTCACAAACTCTTGACTTTGGGCTAACATTTCATCCTTTCAAACCTGTTTCCTCCTCTGTAAAATAAGTTATCAATATCTATCCTGAGAGGGTTGAAGATTAAGAGAGCTTTAGGAATGGGAAGTGCCCAATACAAAGTATTCATTCATACATGCTCACAAATATTATGCTGTGAGTCTTAAGCAGGGAAGAAATATCCTTAAAATAAATCTTTTTGGTTTACTCAGAACTGTTAATGTTTGAAATCAGGACTAACGCAACCCTCCAAGAGTAGCCTTATACCAAGATATCAAAATCATGACAAGATTTAGGAGGATGCTGAGTCCATATCTAATCTGACTTCAGGCTCCCATTAGTGCCACATGAAAGCTGTATAACTTGTCAACAGCAAGCCCTTGACATGAATTCCTAAGTTCTTACCCCAGCCCAGCTACAGATCTAGCATGTCTCCTTGAATACATTATTTTGCCTTTTTCTAATTCGGTTTCCTAACCTGAAAAACTAGCATCAAGAATACTAATTTACTATAACATTGAATTACAGCATTCAAATAATTTGTTTTAGAGTATATATAATAAACATAAAGGATATTCCATTTGGAACAAAGAGTGCTACTCTATCAGTAAGTCTATTTACCTAAATTCAAGTACACGAATATCCTTGTAGCCTGGTAACCCAGTGAATGCATTTGCAACCTGTTAAAAATAAAAATAAAAATTATAATGATGTCAAAACGTGAAAAAGGATATAGGAAATAATGCTTGTAAGAGTCAAATAAAAAGTGTATTGTTTACAACTATTAGAAGCTTGTACATATCCATAGATACAGGAGTCAGAAAGCAAAAGTAAAAAATAGTTGTAATAGTTACAATGTTAGAAAATAGCTTTTACCTCAACACTGCCACATTTTTTTGTCTTATAAGGTTTTAATGTGCTTTAATATTATTTTTTTTCCAAATTACAAAAAGCATACTTCTTATTGGCAAAGCACTGTTTTTCCCCTATGTGATGAAATGTGAAAAAAAATTCACTTCAAAAGAAGCCATAATAGCAATTTTTTTTTTTTTTTTTTTAGACAGAGTCTTGCTTTGTTGTTCAGGCTAGAGTGAGTGCCTTAGTGTCAGCCTAGCTCACAGCAACTTCAAACTCCTGGGCTCAAGTGATCCTCCTGTCTCAGCCTCCCAAGTAGCTACAGGTGTGAGCCACCATCCCCAGTTAATTTTTTATTTCTATTTTTAGTAGAGATGGGGTCTGGGTCTTGCTCAGGCTGGTCTCGAACTCCTGACCTCAAGAAATTCTCCCACCTTAGCCTCCCAGAGTGCTAGGATTACAGGGGTGAGCCACCATGCCCAGTCCATAATAGCATTTTTAAATGTCGTTGCTCAGATTAGAAATCTGGCCATAGCACACACACTGACAAACAGCCTAGTATTTGTTTTTTATAAATGTGCAAGTGTCTGGTGGCATCTCTTTCCTGGTCCTACAACACAAGAAGATCATGGACACACTCAACATTAGAAAGAAATCTGCCAGTCCTGGGAAGCCCCAGGAGAGAGGCCTTGATGACTGCTTAGCACAAAGGAAGCTGTGAAGCAATGGCCAGACAACTCAGCTGGTCAAAAGATCAATTTCTGAGCATCACATCTGCAGAAGCCAGTTTTATTACTCTTTAAAATCCAGCCATGTAACTCCTTATGAGTTTAGTGACTAGAGAGGTAAAAAAAAAGAATACTAGACTGGAATAAAGGTGCAAAAAGAATCAGGTTGTATACAAATACATGTTTTAACAAAATTGAGTAATCCATAATATTTTGGAAAGTGACAACTTCACCAGATGGGTCACCATGGGACTAACATGGGGCAGAACAAAGGAAATAAGTTAATGGACCTTGGTGACATCTCTGGGTATCTACTTTTAACCAAGTTCTCATATAATCAGGAGATTGGGATTTTTAAAAAATCTTGGTTCACTGAAGAAGATCTTCATGCCTTAAGAATAGGGAGTCCAAACCCATAAAATGTTTTGGCTACAGTAATTTGCCTTGTTTTACTCTCTGAAAGGAAAGAGAGAAGTGTTATAATTCTTGTGGGGGGTGAGGAGTAGAATCTACAGGACTGGGAATCAGAAGACTGAGGCTTAGTCTCTGCTATTTTTTTTTTTTTTTTTGCTGGCAGTGCCCATGCACAAGCCTTCTTTTTTGGAACTAATACTGCCCTGCCCACTTACCACATCTATTTTTATAAGATTAAAATGAATGTACCTAAAAGTATTCCACTAACTGAAAAATGCTGTACAACTGTATGTTATTACTAAACCCATCCCAGCCTGGGCTTTGCCATCTCTTGAGTCTAAATATGTGTAGGTATTGTATTCTAATTTATCACACGCAGTTAGCCACTGTACAAGGGTCCAGTTGTAAGAAGTTATTCTACTTTATTAACATCAATATTAATAGGTAATATTAATATTAGTTAATATCATTAGGTGATATTAATTAACATCAATATTAATAGGTGTCTGGTGCTTTGCAATATTACTTCAAAGACTTACAATAATCCCAAGAGATCCATATTATCACAATTTTATGGATGAGAAAACTGAGACCATAAGATATCAAGTAACTTGGGCAGGATCACACTTTTGGTGAGTGGCTGAATCAGAATTTATTCAACCCCAATTTCTCTAACACTGAAGCCCATATTCTTCCCACTGAATTACATTGCCTCTTCCCCCTGCCTCATGATAAATATGCTTTAGAATTAGGACCAGGACTGGGAAAACTGTGAAGTTCACCATAACTTCACCCTGAATTAAAATGAAGGGGACTATGTAAAATATAAAGGAAGGAGCACTTTGAAAGGCAAGAGGAGAACTGATTTTCACTCCTACTCCTAGAGAGGCTAAAATGACCATGAACAAGTTATTTGGCCTCGGGGGCCTTGTCTGTAAAATGGAGATGCTCATCCGCATAGCTGCTGTGAGCACAGACAGAATGCACGCAGCCTGCGTAGAGCAGCATGCGAGGGGGCTGCGTTGACACTGTGACTGCCTTCAGCTACCAACACTGCCAAGCCTACCACACTGACCTTTCCCTCTCTGATGTCGTCCTTCATGTTGTCCCAAGCTTATCTTGTCTCCTCTTCCTCTTACCATTCCCCTCATAAAGAAAAGGAGTAATAGCTCCTGAACCTCATCCTCTCCAAGCAAGCGTTCTTTCTCCTTGTACAACGTCCAATAATCCCTAGAGAAGCTTAGGGAACAATCCGTGTGACTGTGCCCTAAAGGGCGAGAGCTGGAGGACCCTTCAGTTTGTAATAAACATGGTGACGGGATTCTTCAGAGACATGACCCTCGCGTCTGCTGTTCTATATGAAGTGGCTGTTGGTAGAACATTTCACTCCAGGGGAGGGAACAGTGGTGTAGAGATAAGCCAGGGAAGGTGTTTCACGGTAGGCCCAAACCCTTCACCACCCTCAAGTCACCTCGACTCAATAGCTACCTACTCCATAAAGTCCCTGCTGCAGAAGTTTTTCAGAGTGTTTATTGAACTTTCTCTAAATCTGCAGTGATTCCACGCAATTATTTAGCCAAACACTAAGGCATATTAAAGGTTCCTTAATCAAAGGGCAGCAAAACCAGACAGCCAATCCAAGACACTATCTGATGCCAGGTGGCCACTGGCCTGGCTGACAATTCTTCCACATACCAGATAGTCTTGCAACTTGAACTTGGCCACACATCTAAGAAAATGAATTGTCTGGCCTGCACTCCCCAGGTCTGATGGCTGCAATGATGCTGTTTGGCTAAGAGATGCACATTTTTATTTCCCATGTGGACACAGTGTCTGGGAAAGGAAATTAATCCAAGGTAATGGAGTTGACAAATTTGGCCAAAGAGAACTGCATCAAAAGGGAATGAAAAATAAATAAACAGGAAGGGATGATACGTCATCAGACAAAGAAGGGCATTTAATGTTTTATTATACAAGAGCAAAGGCACACGAGAAGGGGGCCAATGGGTCATTTTTGATTAAAAGAATCTTGAGTTTTCGTCCTTTGTAGAATTCTTCCAGAAAGTAAAGTTATGGGATGGTCTAATCCACTGTTCTTTAAAGAAATTCCTCTTTATTAATAAAAACACCTCCAACTAAGGAACAGAGATGGGAAGAAAATTTTTCACTGGATCCCCTTTTGTGCTTCTAAACTTTGTACCAAGTATTATGTAGGTGTTAACTAATCAAAATTTTCAATTTAAAAAAATGAAACTAAAGATGAAATGAAAAAAATCAAATTTAATGTTACCTCAAGAAAAATAATACATTGTACGTAGTACGTAGTTTCTCAAAGAAACTTGTTTCTTCAAATATTATCAAGTCAAAACCATGCCACAGAACACATTTTTGCTTGACTGTGCAGTATAATTTAGAAATAACATTTATTTATTAGCAGATGGCAAGATTTTTGTTTCTATGAAAGAACTCACCTATCCTTCTGTGAACTTTGCACAGAGCTTTCCAAAGAAAGGGTTATGTCACCACCCCAGGAACCACCTAGATGAACAGCTTGAATCCAAAACCTACCTTTGAACAGTGTTGTGAATAAGGGAAATTTACATCACCAGCAAACTGTCTTGTTTATTAAAAAACAAACAAACAAACCACCCACCTCTGAAATAAACTCTTCTACAAGGTGCTGGTGGTAGAAGCTGGAGGGATCCTGTAGTTCTTCCCTGTATTGCTTCCCCAAAAGGTGGATACTGAATTCTGCAATCTGTTCAGCTGCTGGCTTTGTGGGTTCTTCTATCACAGTCTCAATTTCATTGCTAATCTGGATTTTTAGAGAAAGAACAGTAAGTGTCAACGTTTATTCATCCAATCAACAAACATTTATTGATATTGCCTACAATGCATCAGATATGGTGCCAAAGACAACTTCTGATGACAACCTTTTATATAAAATTATACTTTGGAACAAATTGGGTGGACTTTAAGACATAGGCTAATATTAAAATTACTATGCATGTGTTCATTCCTTTGAACACACACTGACCAGTGTGGGGGATGGTAGAAAATTTTCCACAGGAAACAACCAAAATAAGTGAAAAAAGAGTTGACCATGCTATAATTATCATCTAAAAATAGCCTCGAAGGGTGTTTCTCAAACCTTTTGGTCTTAAAGCCCCTTTAAAACTCTTAAAAATCATTGAGAAACCCAAAGTAGTTTGGTTTATGTGAGTTTTATCTATAAATAATTACCAAACAGAAAGTTTATAAATTTTTAAAAAATAGTTATTACTTTATTCTGAAATAATAAGCCTATTACATGTAAAATAAAAAAAGTTATGGGAAGAGTACATTGTTTATATTTTTTGCGAATTCTTTAACGTGCATGGGTGGAGAGCCTGTGGCCTTCTAGGTCCTTAAGTGCGGGCTTTTGACTGAATCCAAATTTTACAGAACAAATCCTTTTATTTTTATTAATACGCTTTTGTTTGTCTTTTATATTTTTATTTTATTTTAAAAGTGAATGTATTTAAAACACCAAAGAATAAAATAAGTTTCAACAAAATAATCCTCAGATTGACAGACACAATTAGAACATTAGTAAGCCATAAAAGCTATGCTCATGATTTAGTTCTAACTTCCCCTGCCTGACTGGTGCCACAACCACAGGAGGCTCATTGGCAAGAGTTTATGGGAGTTGAGTACACCAATCTGTTATCAGCTTCTGACAACAGGGCACTGTGTTTGTGCTTGAAGTGAAATGTGTGAATAGCTGCACAGCTTCAACAGTATTTTTTAATTCTATCTGCTTAACAGCCCATCATGTCAAAGAAGACCAAGAGAACACTGAAGGAAGAAAACAGATTTTTTAATGAATTGCAATTGGGAATTGCAATATTATCTTGTTTCTGCTAAAGATGACGTACTAGCTTTGTGATACTGCAGTATCAACATTAAAGAAATTATCAGCCGGGCGTGGTGGCTCACGCCTGTAATCCTAGCACTTTGGGAGGCTGAGGCGGGCGGATTGCTCAAGGTCAGGAGTTCGAAACCAGCCTGAGCGAGACCCCGTCTCTACCAAAAATAGAAATAAATTAATTGACCAACTAAAAATATATATACAAAAAATTAGCCGGGCATGGTGGCGCATGCCTGTAGTCCCAGCTACTCGGGAGGCTGAGGCAGTAGGATCGCTGAGCCCCGGAGATTGAGGTTGCTGTGAGCCAGGCTGACGCCACGGCACTCACTCTAGCCTGGGCAACAAAGTGAGACTCTGTCTCAAAAAAAAAAAAAAGAAATTATCAGCATTATAACACTCATAAGGACCACAAATATGTTAAATTAGAGGGAGAGGCCTGAAAGGTTGTACTGCAGAAATTAAAAGATGAAAAGCAAAAGCAAAGACAATTCTTTCAAGCAGCAATAAGACCTGGAAATAATGTCACTAAAGCAACATATTAAATAGCTTATATATTCAGAAGAAAAGGGAAGCCATTGAGTGATGTAGAAATTGTGAAAGAATGTACTGTCAAAGTTGTAGGATGCTTAGACCCTAATGTTTCAAAGTACAAAAAACTACCTCTTTCAAGGAGTACCATAATTGATCAGCAGCATGAATTAGACTTCAACTTAACAGAACAACTTTATGTAATACTTCAAAAGGAAAATGTATATTATTCAATTGCTCTGGATGAATCAACTGATACTACTGACTCAGTACAGGTTTTATACTTTATTGGGGTCATAACAGATTTTCTTTGCTACAAAGAGTTACTCACTTTGGGCACTCTTGTGAACAGAACATGGGGAATAGCTATCTCCAACAAATTTTAAGACAAATATGCAGTTAGACTGAATTTGGCAAATTTAGTGAGCATATGTACAGACAGTGCATATATTACCTACCTGCACCTTCCATGACAGGAAAATCTTATTACATAGATTTTTTAAAAAGATATTAACAGATCCTGATGCTCTCATTTTTTTCACTGTATCTTGCATCAGCAAAATCTCTGTGCTAAAGCTACTATTCTAAGTGACACATTGCAACCAGTTATAAGTATTGTTAACTGTATTCCTGCAAATGCAACATGGGATTGTCAGTTTCATAACATGCTAAAGGTGAACGATGAGGTATTCAGTGTGGATTTGCTATATCATTCTAATGTGTGTTGGCTATCACAGGGAGAGGTGTTAGCCAAAATTTTATCTCTGCAAGAACAGATAGTTAAATTTTATGAAGAACAGAATCAGCAATGTGAATTATTGAAAGAAGATTTCTATAGGAATGTAATATTTCTGTGTGATATCATGTCAAATCAAAACGACTTGAATATTTCTTCACAAGGTAAAACTAAGTCTATATATGATATGTGGCAAAAAATCCAAGCATTTTGAAAAAAGCTATCTTTTTTCAAAAGACTTCTTTTTCAAAAGGAAATTTTAGATGAACATTTTCCCCTGTTAGCAAAAGTCACTGATGAGCAGGATGATATATGCAAATCATTTGAAGAATACACAGCCGTTATAGACCTATCAATTGGAGAATACAATGAAAGGTTCACTGACTTTGAGAATCATAACATCACACTTAAATTTGCATTTCTGCCTCACCTAGTTCATATCACCAAAGAAGGCACCTAAAGAACTACAGATGGATTGATTGAGCTCTCAGTAGATGACATTTTAAAGTCATTGACGCTAAGAAAGATCCAATTGAAATATAGAAAAATACCCAGGCCTTTGGGGACATGCCTGAAAAATGCTTTCTTGTTTTTCAACCACTTATTACTATGAATCTACATTCTCCTACCTAACCCAAATCAAGATGCCCTTAAGGTCACCAATGACTGATACTCATCTAGAGGATCAACTGAAACTGTAGACCTGCATGCTGTAACCAAATATTCAAATGCTTTCCAACAAAAAGCAGATACAACAAAGGCATTAAAAAATTACTTAACCTTAAAATTAACAAATAGTTTTCATTTTTTTAAATTATTAAGTACATAGTAATTAGATTTTTACAAAATAGTATACATTTTTAAGTCTATCTAATTGAAGTTTCTTGAATGCAGCCTTATTTGACTATAGCTAAATTAATGCAGCCTTCCAACATGAAAATGTTCCCCACCCCTGGTCTAGAATAATAGAATACAGTGGATTCTCATATCTGCATCTGAATTCAATTAGTTACAATATGCTGTTTTAATTGAAGTATATGGAAAAAAAAACCATCCACGTGGATATATACCGGGGGAGGAATATTTTCAGATAATTGTGAATATTCTTTTCTGATACTACACCAAATTTAACAAGTAGTAATTTATTAAAGGTTAGTTTGCTATATGGAATCTAAAATCATATTCAACAAACTTTTTCTACTCTGTAACATTAAAACCCAGGTCTTCTAGTCAAAGGTAAAATAATTTAAGAACAAAATAGATATTGGATTATAACCCAAAGAATAAAATAACTATCCATGAGTCCATACTGATATGAAAAAATAAGAAAGAAGTAATAACAGTTTTTTACACAAGAATTCCAGTTAATAAAGGCAGGAGAAATGAGGAAAGTAGAATGTCACTACTAGGACACTACAGTAATAACTGCCGATGCAAAGCACGCTGGAGCTCATTTAATCCAAGTCCTTCCATTTTGATACATAAGAAAACCAGGGATTGGACAGGATGAATGAGTACCCCAAGGACTCACAGTGAGCCAATAGCAGAGTCAGGAATAGAACACGGGTGCTTTTTTCCATTGTGTCATTTTTCATCCCTGACGGATCATACATAATCTGAGACCTTCAAAACTTCAGAATGGGAAAGAACCTCAAAGATCCCACCATCCCTTCTGATGCTTGAGTTCTCTCTGTAAAATCCCTGACAAATGGCTGCTTGTCACCAGTTTAAATGGCTCTGCTGAGAAAGAAGTGTGACTTTCAAAGGCAAAATAGACTATTACACTTCCTAAAAGCTCTCATGGTTGGAAAGTTGTTCTTATTAAACCCAAATCTAGCTCCCTATAAATTCTGCCATTGATCCAAGTTCTATAACCTAGAGCACATATAAAAACTGTAGTCCCAGAGAATCCTTCAAATATGTACAAGCAGTTATCGTTTCTTCCACGACCTTTCACTAGTTCCTCTCTTCCAGATACTGCTGAAGCTCCCAATGTCTGTCTTAGAATGTGGCACCCACAAGTGAGGTCTAATCAATTAACACATGGTAGGATTACCACCTCCCTTACAATAGACTTTAGATTTCTATTAAAGCAATCTAAAATTACACTAGTTTTTACTAGTTTTGTTTTCTCCATAACTGCATCATACTACTGATTCATAGCGAGACTAATACCAACAAAAACTCTTAGTCTGGCCGGGCGCGGTGGCTCACGCCTGTAATCCTAGCTCTTTGGGAGGCCGAGCCGGGTGGATTGTTTGAGTTCAGGAGTTCGAAACCAACCTGAGCAAAAGCGAGACCCCGTCTCTACTATAAATAGAAAGAAATTAATTGGCCAACTAATATATACAGAAAAAAAAAATTAGCCGGGCATGGTGGCGCATGCCTGTAGTCCCAGCTACTCGGGAGGCTGAGGCAGGAGGATTGCTTGAGTCCAGGAGTTTGAGGTTGCTATGAACTAGGCTGATGCCACGGCACTCACTCTAGCCTGGGCAACAAAGCGAGACTCTGTCTCAAAAAAAACAAAAAAAACTCTTAGTCTTAGGGAATTTTGCACAAGACTTTGCATTTTTCCATATTAAATTTCATCTCACTAAATTTAGACCGAGACTTCCATTTTCAGTTTATTATAAAAGAAATATCTTGACTAATCTTACTAACACAGAACACCTAAAATGTTGAATAAATTTTTTTAATGATTTTACTCCATATTGCATAGCTGCTTTGCAAGAAAGTGAAAAAAAAAAAAAAGTCAAATCAAACAAGCAGGTCGGGCACAGTGTCTCATGCTTATAATCCTACCACTCTGGGAGGCTGAGGCAGGAGGATCGCTCGAGGTCAGAAGTTTAAGACCAGCCTCAGCAAGAGCAAGACCTCATCTCTACTAAAAATAGAGAAATTAGCCAGGCATGGTGGTGTGCACCTGTAATCTCGGCTACGAGAGGCTGAGGCAGGTCTTTGTGATTTCTATGAGCTAGGCTGATGCCACAGCACTCTAGCCCAGGTGACAGACTGAGACCCCATCTCAAAAAAAAAAAAAAAAAAAATTAAAACAAGCAAGCAAACAAACAAACAAACAAAAGCCCCTAAGGTATCAATAAAAGATAAATTACAGAAATCCAGAGAGGTGATGCAGTGTTGAAGGTGGCAGCTTCCACAGAACATATGCTGATCCTTTGTGACCTAGACTTAAGTTTTAAATACCATAAAGGGGTAGAATACAAACAGAAGGACTATACATGTTGAAAAGTCACATCAAAGACTCCCACATAAAGCAAAGATTCTAAAAGCTCAATGTACAGTTTGAATAACACTTTAGACTATATTGAAAGAAGAATAGAAGACAGAACTGAATGCAACACAGAAAGACAAAAAAGGGAAAGTCATTAGTTAAGAGACATGGGAGATAAAATGAGGTCAGACATATAATCCAATCACAGGAAATAACAGCTGAGAATTTCTCAGAATTTATGTTAGACATAAAGCTTCATATTAAGTAAATACAACAAATCCAAAGCAAAATAAATAAATATACACTTGTACCCACTTTTGTGAAATTGCAGAATCCCAAACATAAATGTGCGTGAATATATATACATATATTTGAAGATATATATCTTAAAAGCAGCCACAGAAAACAACCAGATTACCCACAAGGGAGTGAAGACTGAGCTGATAGTTGAGTTCTTAGTAGCAACAATAGAAGTCAGAGGATAATAAAATAAAAGCTTGACAAAAAAAGTTCTCAATCCAGAATTGGATATAGATATAAAATATCTTTCTAGAATAGGGACATAATGAAGACATTTTCAAGTGATCAAAAACTGAGATTGAACCAGTGAGAAACTCTTGCTAAAGTAGTATCAGAATTACCTCATGACAGTTCCCCAAACCTTGTTTCATTTCATTCACCATTTGAAGCCTTCCCTCACCAAGAATTCACAAATAAGAGCAGATTTACTCAGGTCTCTAAGGAATCTCAGATTCTTTTATATTACTTTTTCCAGAGATGGGGTCTTGCTCTGTCACCCAGACTGGATGTAGTGGCACAATCGTAGCTGACTACAGCCTCAAACTCCTGGGCTCAAGTGATCCTCCCACCTCAGCCTCCCATAGCTGGGACTACAGGCAGGCGCCACCATGTCCAGCTTTAGATTCTTTTTAATGTACTGGTTTTAGAATCCACAACATTTTTACAAGAAGGCACTACATGAAGTCCTATGTAGTCTAGCAGTGGAATATAAACTCTCTCTTAACTCCTATTCTCCATGTTAAAAACTAATTAATAGTTAACAAAATAGAGCATCACTCACACTCTCCTCTGGCCTTTCCAAGCTGCTCTCTGAAGCACCTTCAAAGGAGGCCGCCTCTGGATACAAAACACTGACAGCAGCACCTAAGCAGAAAAACAAAAATAGATGTATGAATTCAATCCCTGACCAGGTCAGAATTTGTATCAAGAAATAAGGAATTGACTTCAAAAATCATTTCTGGGATGGGCGCAGTGGCTCAGGCCTGTAATCTGAGCACTCTGGAAGGCCGAGGCAGGAGGATAGCTTAAGGTCAGGAGTTCAAAACCAGCCTGAGCAAGAGCGAGACGCCCTCTCTACTTAAAAATAGAAAGAAATTAATTGGCCAACTAAAAATATATAGAAAAATTAGCCAGGCATGGTGGCGCATGCCTATAGTGCCAGCTACTTGAGAGGCTGAGACAGAAGGATTGCTTGAGCCCAGGAGTTTGAGGTTGCTGTGAGCTAGGCTGATGCCACAGCACTCTAGCCCGGGCAACAGAGTGAGACTCTGTCTCAAAAAAAAAAAAAAAAAAAAAATCATTTCTGTAAGTTGTTTGCTTTTTCGGAAATTTGGTACATTCTGATCTCAAGACAAATTTGCACAGAATCTTCCCAGAACAAGAAATAATTATAACTCATTCAACAAGCATTTATTGAGCACCTGCGATATGCCAGGCTCTGTGCAAAATGCTATGGATAGAAAGACAAAGTTTCTACATTTAAAGAGCTATCTAGTAAAGGGGACAGTTACTGAAAGAAGTATCTTTACCAGAGGGGAAGCAGGTGACAGTTGGAGATTGACCACAATATGACAATTGTTGAAAATGGACCTCATTTTGCCATTCTATTTTTGTATACGTTTGCAATTTCTAATACAGGCATACCTCGAAAATACTGCACAATTCTTTTTTAGCTTCCAAGTGCATATAAAAGATATGTTTACACTATACAGCAGACTATTAAGTGTGTAATAGCATTATGTCTACAAAACAATGTACATAACTTAATTAAAAATACTTTATTGATAAAAAATGGTGACATAGGGACATCAAATGAGCACATGCTCTTGGAAAAATGGCACTGATAGACTTGCTCCATGTAGGGTTGCCACAAACTTTCAATTTACAAATTGTAATCAGAAAAATCCTTACTTTGAGAAACTCTACAGGACAATGACAAATGATGAGGCTAGAAAGGTTCTACTTTTTGACATAGGTAGTGGTTACACAATGTTTGCCTTAAAATAATTCATTAGGTCATACATTTGTTTTAAATGATATTCTGATTTGTACTATACGTAACAAAGATTTTTAAGTACCCCCAACATAATGCCATAAAATAAGTGAAAATAATTACTTTTTCTTGATACTCTCAACGACATATAGAGAGAAACCAGATATTTTTTAAATGTAAGCTGAAAAAATGTACTTGCTTGCAAGATTCCTTTTAACCATAATTAATTTTTAAAAGAAAAGTGAATAAAGGTATAAAATCATACCTCCCAATGTTGAGGTATCACCAACAGGGACTGGAGATGATAATTCAGGGCTAGAGGGAAAAAACGTTCGCCATTAATAAGATGATAGAAACGTGAGGGTTTCTTTTTGGATTTGGGGTTTGTTTTCTGAAAAGGAAATAACTAGATCTCCAAATAAGGCTTCCCAAACCTAAGTGCCATTTAGCAAAGTTTTAAAAAAAATTAGTCTTCATATTAGTCTTCATTTATTTTACATTTATTGATGCCTACTTAACTAGCAGTACCAGACCTAGAGAACTTCCCTAGTTACTATTTCATCATCCTGTTTTATTTCTTCTCAGGTCTTTTCACTATGTGAAATTATTTTATTTATCTACTTATCTCTGTCCCCAATCCCTTAATTCTCTAGAATGGTACTACCAATATGATAGCCACTGGACATATGCAGCAATTTACACTAATAAAATTAAGCAAAGTTAAAAATTCAGTTCCTCATTCACATTAGCCACATTTCAAGTGCTCAATAGTCACATGTGGCTAATGGTTACCATATTGGAATAAGCAAAGAACATTTCCATCATCATAGTAAATTCTACTGAACCAGACTGGATTAAGAATCTAAATTCCATAGGCCAGGCGCGGTGGCTCACGCCTGTAATCCTAGCACTTTGGGAGGCCGAGGCGGGCGGATTGCTCAAGGTCAGGAGTTCAAAACCAGCCTGAGCGAGACCCCGTCTCTACCAAAAATAGAAATAAATTAATTGACCAACTAAAAATATATATACAAAAAATTAGCCGGGCATGGTGGCGCATGCCTGTAGTCCCAGCTACTCGGGAGGCTGAGGCAGTAGGATCGCTGAGCCCCGGGAGATAGAGGTTGCTGTGAGGTAGGCTGCCGCGACGTCTCTCAATATATACTGTGCAAAAAAAAAAGAATCTAAATTCCATGAGATTAGGGACTTTGCCTGTCATATTCCTGCTATATTTCTAGTGCCTAAAACAGTATCTAGCTTTTAGTAGGCATTAAAAAGATATTTTTGGGATGAATGACTAAATGAATATTATGTGCTAAGCAGTGTAGAATGTACTTGGCATATAGCTGTGAGCAAAACACTCAAGGTCTATGAAGGTTACAGTCTTACAGAAATGCAAAATGATTACAAATGCAATAAGTAGCAGATAGGAAAATACTGGCTGCCAGAGGCAACAAATAACCATGAATCTCATCTCATTTGAGATGAAATCTTTTTATGAAAAGAAAGTAAAGAAAGTCAAGCTTAGAGAAATGACTTGCTATAGGCCACACTGCAAAGAGGTGTTAGGTCTCCCAGCTGTCCCTTTACCATGCCATCCTGCAAGTGCAAGCAAAGATGAGAAGAGGTGACAAGATAACCTGAGAAAGTCCTTACTCTTAAAGGAAAGAAAATAGGTTTCCACAAATTCAGATTCTCATATATCCCAAAGCTATAAAAGTTAAACTATAGTAATCTGGGGATGTTTTAGAACTTTAACATTTGTATACATGTCCTAAAGGGAAAGGGTTGTTCCATTAACCTTTTCCAAAGGTGATGGATCAGTGGTGATTGTGTCAGTTTTCAAATCATAGGTGAAAATGAAAACTATCTTCAACACTACACAAGTCAGCATCCTATGGTGATCTGAACACAGTTAAAAATGTCTCAGGCTGAGCTCAGTGGCTCATGCCTGTAATCCTAGCACTCTGGGAGGCCGAGGCGGGAGGATCGCTCAAGGTCAGGAGTTTGAAACCAGCCTGAGCAAGAGTGAGACCTGGTCTCTACTAAAAATAGAAAGAAATTAATTGGCCAACTAAAAATATATAGAAAAAAATTAGCCGGGCATGGTGGCGCATGCCTGTAGTCCCAGCTACTCTGGAGGCTGAGGCGGAAGGATCGCTTGATCCCAGGAATTTGAGGTTGCTGTGAGCTAGGCTGATGCCACGGCACTCTATTCCAGGCAAAACAGTGAGACTCTGTCTCATACATACATACATACATAAAAAATTTCTTCCTCATAGATTTGCCCAGGTGCCAGTAAGTCCCATCTCCAGAACCATTCCTATAGATTACCCTGCTGCTCGAAATTAGGTCATAAGAAGTACTCAAAACCACCAGATAAACATGACATATCTTAAGGCATCAAGTTCACTGGAAGCTTAAGCAGGTGGGGATTTAAAAGCAACTGAAATGTAATTAAAACATTTGAATATTATAGCAAATATGGCTATATTATAGAGTAGAATATAAAGTTTAAATGGATATTAAGATAAAATATGATAATTCAAAGGCATTTTACTATTGGAGCTGGAGTGGGAAGGTCAACTAGGAGCATGTTCTCTAAAGCCCCCAGACTTTAGTAGGAAATTTGAGAAACAATGAGTATAAAAAATGTTGGTGGGCTCAGTGTCTCATGCCTGTAATCCTAACATGTTGGGAAGCTAAAGCAGGAAGATCTCTTGAGGCCAGGAGTTGGAGACCAGCCTGAGCAAGAGTGTCTCTACAAAAAATAGAAAAATTAGCCAAGTGTTGTCCAAGCTACTTGGGAGGCTAGGGCAGGAGGATTGCTCAAGCCCAGGAGTTTGACGTTGCAGTGAGCTATGATGATGCTACTGCATTCTAGCCTGGGAAAAAGAGAGTGAGATCCTATCTCAGAAGGAAAAAAAAAAAAAAGAACTTACCATAATTATACTGCTGGTTTTTAAAAATACTATCTAAAAAACATATTAAACTATTAAATCAAACCTATTACTATTGGTTATTTAGAGCACATTTGGATAGAATTGCTTACTAAGTGAGCTATCATCTAGAAGAACCTACAGGAAGATAAAATATGGACAAGTCATTTCAATGAGCAAAGGCAGGCCTGAGTGATAAGAAAGCATCAAGAGACTTTCTGGGTTGCAGGAGGTGGAGCTAAAAACAATAGGATTCAGATCCATTTGGAACAGATACCATAACCTTCATTTCAAAAACGAACAAATGAGGTCTGAATGGACAAAGCAATTTTCCCAGGCTCACACAAAAATTCCCAACTGTATTTAGTTCCCTTTCAATAATAACAGCAAGAATAATTACAACTGCATTTAATGAGCCCTCATAATGTGTCAAGCACTGTGCTAAGTGCTTTGTCTTGGTTAAATCACTTAATTCTAGCAATCACCTTAAGAAGGAGATCCTATTATCCCCATTTAGACAGATGAGGAAACTAATGCTAGAAGAGGTTAAGAATTTGTTCAGGATCACACTACTAGCCAACAGAGGAGCTGTGATGTAAAACAGGCCCACTGAGTCACAGAAATCCTCCTCTTACCCACCTCAATTCACTGCCTCACAACATGGCTCTTATGTGACCCATACTCTTCAGAAGAGTTTCACTTGGCTTTCATGATAGTGGCCTACGGAAACTAAACACCCCAAAAGTCAAAGTGTGTAAGGTCCCAAAAAGAGAAAGGGGAGCCTGGTCAGAAGTGGAGACCTATGGATAGCAACCAGGTATGAGGAATATAGTAAGGCAAAGGGATGGAAGCACAACCATACCAACTAGAACAGGATGTTGGAATGAGATAGATAGCAGAGAAATTAAACCTCACCTGGGGTGGGTCAAATTGTCACTCACATATAAAGCAAATTTAAACTAATTCTCTAGGCCAGGCGCAGTGGCTCATGCCTGTAATTCTGAGGACTCCCACTCTGGGAGGCCGAAGCAGGAGGATCGCTTGAGCTCAGGAGTTCCAGGAATTTGAGACCAGCCTGAGCAAAAGCGAGACCCTCATCTCTACTAAAAACAGAAAAATTAGCCAGGCATCATGGCACACACCTGTAGTCCCAGGTACTTGGGAAGCTGAGGCAGGAAGATCACTTGAGCCCAGGAGTTTGAGGTTGCTATAAGCTAGGCTGATGCCATGGCACTTTACTCAGGGCAACAGAGTGAGACTCTGTCTCAAAAAAAAAAAAAAAAAAATTGAAAAAGAATTGAAAAGAAAATAAACTAATTCTCTAACGAAGCAAGCATTCAGAATGGAGACGTTTGATTATTTCAGTGGAACTCGATTTCATCTTACTGAATTCAAAATAACATCATTATTTTAATGCTGGCAAGTAGGAAACTCTCAGTAATTCAACTCACTTGTCTAACACTCCAACTCTTAATCCCATACCCTCCCACTCTCCTTGCAAAAAACAGAACACTTAACAAGAATCGTTTTACATGTTCTCATTAAATATGCCTCTTGCAGGCATCTCTTAAAATGTCACTCACAACAGCACTAGAACACATAGGTGTACTGAGTTTAGAGACAGAAATACTGCTTTATTTCTAGGCCAAACCACAAATTTGAAGTTGTTCAACTAAGACCTTTAGCTTAATACCAGCAGCAAACAACCCCCTACTGTGTCATTTCCTGAGGTCATCCAGCACACTATTCATTCTTCACCACTACTACTTAATCATGTCAGTGGAATTCAGGTGGGATTGTGTCAAAAGATGATTATAGCCACATGGAACATAAGTTTAAAGACACTGAGACAAGCCAAGCATAGGTTCATATGCAGATTACTACTTACTTTGATTACTTTCTGTACTTTGCTTTGCTCTTGAATCTTTTACTATAATCAGCATGTGACAGCAAAAGTACTCAAGGCAAGGAGTCCAAGAATCCTGGGTGCTAGTCCAAGTTGTATCATTAACTTTGTGAAAATACTTTAGCTGCTCTGAGAGACTCAAGTACTTAACCTCTAAAACAGAAACACATCCTCCCATTTCATAAAGGTGTTGATGAAAACTAAATAAAATACATGCAGAAGCATTATCAAAATATTACATACTAAACAAATATAAAAGAAAACTGGGGTTAATGGAGCACTAACACATGTCATCCCAAACAGAATAAAATATTTGCTTAAAGAAATTATATTTGTGATGCATGATGGGCATCCTCAACTACAAATGTAAGTTAACTGAGGCATGCACACACAAAAAGTCCCAAACAGCAGTCCTTATACTGAGAATATCACCGGAAACCTGATAATTGGGTGATTGGCAGAAATTTGGTTAT